AAGGGCGCCCATCCGCTTCCGGCTTGCGGGTCTTTGAGCTCCTGGCGTGGTTTGGTCCCTCGGCTGCCTGGCGTGGCGGAGCCTCCCGGGGTTCGGGCCCCGAAAGACGCCGCTTGCATGGCCTCCGCCGTGGTGAGGAAGCGGGGAGAAGCGGGGGGCGGCCGGGAGCCGGGGTTCAAGAGGCCCCAGAGGGGTTCCATCCACTACAACGCCCACCCGTCCCTGGCGGTGGCCTTGCTGGATGGGAACTGTAGTCCCTGGAGGGCCCCCGGGGCTGAGAATGGGGCTGGGCCTCGGATGGCTCGGCCTCGGGCCAGACGTGGTCGGGTGGCGTGAGGGGTCGGCGGGGAGAGGCCGGGAGCCTTTCGGGCTTCTTTTCCTCGACTTTCTTTCTTTCTTTCGCTTTGTGTTTGGTGAGGCTGAGGCGAATGGCTGCTGGACTCGGAGGTCCAGTTCAAGCCCTTCTTTGCTGACCTTGTCAATTCTGCCACCACACAAGCGGTTTAGGTCTCTGGTTGGGGAGTTCGGTTCCCCCTTGGTGCCTCCTGAGAGAAAGAGCCAGCCTGGGTAGCCTTGGGCCAGCTGCACCGTCCCCAGAAATGCCCACAGAAGAAGGGAAGGGGAAACCACTCCTGAGTACTCTCTACCTAGGAAACTCTGAAATTTATAGATCAGAAATTTATAGATCAGAACATAGATCAGAATTGACTTGATGGCACATCATTATAAGCTGGACGAATGGCTCAGTGGTTTGGGTCTCCGGCTGCAGAGCCAGAGGTTAGGAGTTTGATTCCACCACGGAGCGTCCTTGACTAGAGTTGGACTTGATGATCCACGGGGTCACTTCCAGCTCTGCAGCTCTTAAATTTATATCCAGGATTGGCTGTAACTTGAGTCTTGTTCCCTCACATTGCTTATGCTTCTTAACATGGCTCTCCTTTAGATGATAAGATAGAAAGACGGTGGGTGGTGGAAATGTATCTGCTCTTGTATGAGGTCTTTGGTGTCCCAGTGTGATTTTTTTAAAAGAGTAATACATCTGTCTTAACAAGTGGGTGGAATATGAGTCCATAGGCCAGTCTTCTACCTGCTTATCAAACTGGCCCCTAGATGATGCAACAGTTATTTCTCTTAGGGCCTGACAGAAAAGAATTGCTTTGTCTAAATCTGATTTCCTAGCATTCTGCTGAGGTGCTTTGTTTCTCTGCATCTTGTTTCGTCCAGGACTTCAAAACCTACGTGGATCAAGCCTGCAGAGCTGCTGAAGAATTTGCAAATATTTACTATGAGACCATGGACAAAAGGCGAGGGGTATGTAGGTTCCCAACGTTTTTTCTGCTTCGTGTGTTGACAGTAGTTTGCTGCTTTTCTCAAAGCACACATCTGAGCCCGTTATTTTGCTTCTTTTTCTTCTTAATTCGGGGTATAGGAAGCAGCCTTACACAGAGTCAAGCTTTTGGCTGATCATGCTTATATTTTGTCAGCTTTGACTGGCAGCTGCTCTGTAGAGGTTTTTTTCAGCCCTCTTTGGAGGTATGGGGGTTGAACATGGAACCTTTTTCATTCAAAGCATGTACTTTTCCACTGAGTTACAGCTTCTCTCAGACATTTCCTTTTAGAAGTTCAGGGCAGCAAACAATCTGTGTAAATCACTATGAGCGAAATCCAAGTTGTTCATTCCACACAGAGTAGACTTGTTAGATCCAAGGGACTAAACCCCTTCACATCTCTCATAAAGGGAAGTAGAAAGTTAAATAAATATGGAGAGAGAGCACGTTTCACACTAGAATCGACACACACCTAAAACACAGTTCCTTCTTAAATTCAGTGTAACACTCTTTGTTGTTTTTCAGGTGTTAACTAGACTCTACACAGAGAATGCAGTGCTCGTTTGGAATGGAAATGCAGTGTCTGGGCAGGAAGCAGTTGCAAAGTTCTTTGAAATGTTGCCATCGAGCGAGTTTCAAGTTAACATGTTTGATTGTCAGCCTGTTCATGGTAAGGCAGCATACAAACCAAAAGATGGCTGGATTCTAAAGATGGATCAACTGCTTATCATTTCACATTGTGGAAAGTGCAATTGTGCCAGATGAATATATTGTAAAGCCTTTTTTTTGGACTTTTTAAACTATACCTTACATGGATAATTTGTTTGAGTGTATAAATAGAGTAGGAACCCCCCCCCCCAATCCACAGGGGATCAGTTCCAAAGCCCCCCTCCCCTGCAGATGTTAAAAGCCATGGATTATAGCATGATCTCTGGCTTTCTCTAGTAGTTATTACATCTTGGGAATGCATATTTCTGTTTTTATCTCTTCATATTTTTAAATATTTTCAGACCCTGGATAAGTGAAACCACAGATACTATTCCTCGGATATGGGAGTCCTCCTGTATCTTTCTAGAAACTTAAATAGGGTTGTATTTGATCCTATTTACATATACACATATGCCTTATTCCCCCCATGCCATAGAATTGTACCTCTGGAGAATATTTGCCTGTAAAAGTACCTCATTCTAGCAAAATGTAATATTTTTTTAAATGAAGCTTTTTTTAAGTCAGAAGGGGACCCTTCATTTGAATTTTTAAATTTTGATTAGATTAATGATAGTACATTGAAATGGCTCTTTGCCTAGCCCAGTGGCTCTTAACCTTTGTTACTCGGATGCTTTTGAACTGCAACTCCCAGAAACCCCAGTCAGCACAGCTGGTGGTGAAGGCTTCTGGGAGGTGCAGTCCAAAACTCCTGAGTAACTCAAGGTTAAGAACCAGTGGCCTAGCCTAATCGAGCATGGGAGGTGGGGGTTGACCTACACCTCTGGGTCATGGGAGGTGATTTTTCTAAAGAACATTACTAACCAAACTATTTCAGGCTTATGTTACTTCACCTATCAAGTTGTTTGAAACACACACACACACACAGCCTCTGTCAGTTGGGAAGTTTGTTAGCGTTTTTTGTGCAAGTAAGATGTTACAGAACTATTTTGTTTTGCAATATATATTATTTATATGCCACCTTCTTCCCCGAGGTGGCTCACAACAGATAAACATAGTTTTAGAATATGATATAAGTATCCCATGAAAAAACAATTAAACCTATAATAACATTAAAAACCAAGATTAAATAACATTTGAAAACATTTGAAAATGTGTAAATTAAGAGACAAGCCTGCCTGAAGAGGGAGGTCACGAGGAAGGGGATCAACCTGGCTTCTTCCAAAGCATGGGAGCAGCCATTGAGAAGGGCCTCCCCAGAAGACCTTAAAAGCCGAGAATGCTCATATGGGATGAGACGATCCTTCAGATAGTCTGGACCCAAGCTATTCCATAGCTTTCAGTATCATTTATTCTGTCTCTTGCAGAGCAAGCGACCCAAAACCAAACCACTGTCCTGGTGGTGACGTGCGGCACGGTCAAATTTGATGGGAATAAGCAACAATTCTTCAATCAAAACTTCTTGCTAACGGCACAGACCACAAACAATAACACGGTGTGGAAAATCATGAGTGACTGCTTCCGCTTTCAGGAGTGGCCTACTTAGTGGGCAACAGCAGGTAGATGTTTTCTACCAGATACATGGCTTTTGGGAGGACCACATGCTAGATACGGAATACTGCCTTTCTCTTGCCGCATCTTCTGAAGTGATTCAGCCGGTCAGAAGCTGCTGGTTTTATGCCAAAACTAATCCTATAACTGCAGAACCCCCTGTGCCTTCCAGGTTCTATTTGACATCTTTCAAAAGGAGACACTCTTCCAGTTTATTTATATTGGTGATTTATGTTGGCGTTTGGATGGGAGAAAATGTCTTCCTTGTGTTAGCATTCTGTCTTTGACCAAGTTGGTCACTCAGTCCCTTTGTGATATGATAATACAACTCCCGTCCGTCACAAATATGTTTTGCTTCCGTGGGAAATTAAAATGTGACACACAGATGGACATGTGCATGTGGTTCTTTCATTCTGGAGCGTGTTCAAGCGCTTGAAGATGATATTTCTGAAAAGAAGTAATTTGTAGGGGTAGGGGGTGCGAACGGGTAGGTGTATATCTGGGGGCTGATCAAAAATTAGCAACCCTCTGGTGGTGTGTTGCATTTCTAGGCTGAGTTTGTTGTGGTTTCAAATTGCTGTCACTTGGAAACAGTTGATTTAAAAGAAAAAATCAGATTTAAATGAATGTCAGGAGTTTTTTTTAATGTAGAAGAGGAGAAAGCCAGGCTAGGAGGAAGTGTTCTGTCTTCCGAACCTCTGCAAGGCGAATCCTTCTCTAGCTGGCTGGTGTTTTATCTTTCTTTCTTATAATTTCCCTTTCACCATGAAAGAGCAGAACACTCTTGAGCAGCTTAGGATGTGATGTTGGTGAAGGAACCTCCACCAGCTACCTGTCCCTTCCTTTTCTGTACCTTCATCACACCTATAACAATGCTTTTATCCTGTTTTGAAAACAGTGTGGAAGAAGGAAGTGCCCAGCACCCTCTGCACTCCCCTTTCCCTCTGTTCCACTGGTGCACTGTCCAAACCCATTTTCGGTTATGGGACTCCTCTGTTGCTTTTTGAATTTTCACGTGCCCTTCCCCCTTCAAACAAAAATTAGAGCCAGATTTACGGTATGTTTAAAACAGCAGTATCCAACTTAGCTGAACAATTCTTCTGGAGCAGCCGTTGACAGATCTGACTCGTGTTACCTCTCCACGACTCACCTTCCAGTGGAGCAAAAGGAAACTTCAGAGGCATGGAAAAGCAGCGAGATTCACAGCCCATTCTGGGAGGTTTATTATCACACTGGGAGGCGCAATGGCCAGTTTCCCCATCGTGCCTTGAAAATACATGCGACTTAGTTGTAGGGTGAGATTACCTGACCCCATCTCCCGACATCAATGTGTTTTACTAGCTGTGCTGCCTTAAAGGCAGTGTTGTTTGGGGTATATCACACGTACCAGCATATCTGTGGAGGGCTTACCCTTAACAGGCATTCATGTATGGGACCCTTTCCCGTCCCCACTGATTCTGCAGCTGGATGTTTGGGGTTGGCATATGTATTCTGTGAGGAGGGCACAGTGAACTGCCATCTTGTCCAAAACCCTGTTGTGAATGTGTTAGGTTGGTGAGAATCCTTGAGAAATAAAGATGGGGGAATGTGTAATCTATAGTGGTTCTTTTATATGATATAGTTCAGGTAAAGGTAGCGTTGGGTGGTCTCTCGGGGCGGTGGTGAATTGTTACTTAATTTGGAAGACACTTACCACTGATGGTGAGTGAACACTGCACTACTGCTTTTTAAACATCCAGGAAAAGAAAATTAGAGAATAGGACAGACTCTGTGACTTAAAGTAAGCTAGTGAAGCCTCTGCCTGGTGATCCTACTCAGTCCATTATGGGTATAGTGATACAACTAGAGCTCAGGATTGTAACCTTTTTAAATAATAGATTTAAGTGGTAGAGCAGAAACAGTTGTTATTAAAAGCCTTAGTTACATGATTAAAGCAATTACGGCGGCAGCATTTAAACCTGTGCTTTATTTCTTTATCTTGATGGTTTTTTGGCGTTGCTGTTTGACTTTGTGCTGTTAGTCCTGTGTGTGGAGAATATAATGCTTTTGTCTATTGCTAAACTCAGCTGCGAAGGGGTTGAGCAGAAATGTTCATTATTTAAAAGCTCAGTTACATTATTAATGTGAAGCAAGCTTGACAGCAGGATCTAAATCAATAGTTTATCCTGTTTTTCTTTTTGGTTTGACTTTGTGTGTTTGTAATTGTTTGTCTTTGTAGTATTAGGAATTTTATGTGATGGAATATAATGCTTCTGTTTGTATTGCTAAAATCAGGTGGAACATGTAAATAAATCTTATTGCAAATATGAATGTTTAACTTTGGAGCTGAATGACTTTTTGCTTGCAGTAAATCCTAAAAAGTATATGCACCTGAAGAACAGTGTGAAATATTTTTAATATAGCTTCCCATCCAGAATGAAACCCAGTTTTCTTGCACCTGAGAGACTGAAAATGCTTTATTTGGTACCGGCCTTCAGAGTTTGCATCTGTAGAAGTGAGCTGAGCTCCGTAAAACCTGGTGCCAGTAAAATGATCAGCACCATCTGTAGATCATAGCCATTTGTGACGGTTCGTTCTTCAGACACACAGATGTTCTGCATCTGTGACTCCGGGTTCCCTTCCCACCAAACCAGCAGTTTCTGCCCATCTCTAGTGCCAGCTGTGCTTGGGAAGAGTATACATTCCAGGGATTCACACCATATCTCAGCGATGGCGAACCTATGACACGCATGCCACAGCTGGCACGCGGAGCCCTTCCCACTGGCACGCGAGCCATAGGTCGCCAGATCGCTACTCCCCCTGCCCCTACCCCTGCACAGCCAAACCTCAGGAGGCTGCTGTAGCCAGTGCTGGCGCTTCAGCAGGCGGATCTGGAGCAACTGGTGCTGGCAGCGGAAGGGCCTTGAGGCACCTCCGTGCCAGGATTCCCCCTTCCGCCACCACTTCTGGTTTCAGATCCTCTGGGTCCACCAATGCTGCTGTTGCCCCAGCGGCACACCGCCCACTGTTTTTCCCTCCCCCCAGTTTGGGCACGCAAGCCCAAAAAGGTTTGCCACCACTGCCATATCTCATTTCCTGTACACACCTTATTTGATATGGAGCGAAACGCTGTCTTTGCAAACAAGGCCTCAAAAATTGTTCAGAATTCCCACATATCCCTAACAAGCCGTGTGTTTGCCCATTGACTCAGTCTACAAGTTGAAATGGCTAAAATAACCTCTTGGACTCCGGTGTTTAAACTGGCACTAACCTCTGAACTGAGTTTTGTGCCCATGTCTAATGACAAGGCAAACCTGCTAATGGATCGTAATTACAGATAGACATGAACTGGCTCATCCCATTTCATAAAGGCAGCAGCCTCTGGCTCCATCAGCCACTCACCAGGTTCAGCCTTGGCTGATCTGTCACTCAAACAATAAGGGTGGGGCAGAGAAGTCTGTGCTCTTGCCCTGGTCAGGAGGTTAGCCGAGGAGGTGGGAAAAGCAAGCAAGCAGGGCCTGATGAGGGGCTGTTTGAGGCCGAGGAGATGGGGGGGGGAAGAGCAGCAGCCCCTGTGCCTTTACGAACTGGGACGAAGTGGTTCATGCCCATCTCTAATTTTAATTGTCCATTGAAGCCATCTCAAGCTATTTTGAATGACAAGAGGAGGAGGTTTGAACAATACTCGAAAAGGGCCTTCTTAGTGGTGGCCCCTACTCTGTAGAATAAACTTCCATCTGAGGTACACCAGGCTCTGATGCTTCTCACTTTTAGGAAACTACTGAAGACCGAGCTTTATAAAACAGCCTTCAAAAACATATCCCCTGCGGTTGTGAGCTTTTAATTTTATGTGATTTTTAAAAAAATGAATGTGGCATTATCATCATCATCTCATTTGGGTTTGTATCAATTTAAACACATACATAGACACTGTTGCTAGAAAAGTATGCTGAGCTACTCAATTGAGGCAGGACAAAGAAGTTTGACCACAATGCTGGCTGCTAGGAATACGAGGTTTGGAATTATTATTATTATTGTTGTTGTTGTTGGCACAAGGCTAGCTGCTAGGAATACGAGGTTTGGAATTGTTGTTGTTGTTGTTAATTATACTGCATTTCTCCCAACAAGGGACCCAAAGCGGCTCACCACATTAAAATTCACACAATTTAAGAACACAATGTTAAATGTTAAAAGATAAACAATATATGATTTAAAATACAATTAAAAGATTAAAATATCTGCTGGAATGGGGTTCAGAGGTTCAGTTATAGTTTACATGCTCCCATAATTCAACAGGGACCTTGAGCAACTAGCTTGCTTCCCTCCTCCACACATCGATTAAAGGTTCAGGAGCCCTGTCCTCTTTTTCACGTGGCCACCCTGCCAGGGAGGAGGGACTCCATTCAACCATGCCTTGGCTTTGTTTCCGTTGCCTGGCCCACTCCGCCTCCACATGGTGGCTCGCCTTTTGTTTCCAAAAGCGTCAGCAGACAGCTGGCCTCCTCCTTGGACAATTTATGACCAGCACAGCTGCTGGCAACTCTAGATGGGGGGGGGGACTTTTCCCTTAATGTCAGAGCTGATCCATTCCCAGCCAAGGCTTGTCATAAAATACAGGTTGCAAGCCTTTGCGAATACATGTCTTTCCCCCTTTTCCCCCTCTGGCAATGAGGAGGGCAGGGATGGTAAATAATTTAATGAAAATGTGTCCCAAATATATCTTTTTTTTAAAAAAAGGAAAACTGGGCCAGCAGGAACCAGGTGGCCACAAAAGCATAAATGCAGAGTAGCTTTTGTTTGAAACGACAAAAAGTTCTGCAACAAGGAAGGATTAACCATTTTTATTGGGCTTTTGCAGCTTGCAAATCACATCACCAAGAAGAGTTAAGGCCTGCCTTCCAAAGGGCTCCTTATTCCAAATCAGGGTAGAGATAAATCATGAGTTTTTAAAGGCGCTGTCTAATGTTAACGGCTTTTTTTTTCTTGACTCTGCCTGCATCCTCGGCGTTTCTTTCCACCCTGAGCTAGTCCAGCCCCCATAAATCTGCAAGGCTTCTGTTCAAGAGGGTCTCCAATGGCCCAGATTTAGGAAAGTTGGGTGTTTTGGACTAGGGTTCTGAAAATCCCACAGCTAACACAGAAAAAAGCCATGATGGCCTGGGAATTTTTTTATTCTGATGTTTTATGTTTTTTGTTAGCATTAAAAAAATAACTTCTCTGCGCTCAGCAAATGCAAACTTCCGGGGTGGGGGGGATCGTGCCCACCGT